TAATAAAAGTACCTTTTAAATCTAAATAATACTAGAACACTGAAAAAGAAATTAACAATCAATGATAGAAAAAGCTGCCTTGAGGCCCTGAGCAATGAAAAATTTAATCTCTAAAGTTACCTGTTTCTGGGCTGTTTGTTTGGTGGTGCTGGAAGAACCAACCAAGAGTTTTCAAACAAATAAACTAGACACAACACATTTTGCTGAAATAGATATAAATAAATCTGAAAAAACAAAAGCAAAAAGTTACTGAGCAGTGTACCATCACACAAGCAAGTTGGAACAAAAAAAGGATGTTATCTGTAAGAGTCAGGTATGTTGCTGTGTAACATACTTCCATTCAACACGTCAACAATTCAACAGATACTTTAACAAGTTTCAATGATTCTCTGAAGGTATATATTTTTTCAATTATATGTTTTAAAAAAAAATATTGTCAATTATATTTTAGGCCGAAAAGATACTGCATTTGTCTTTGTGACCAGGGGGCCAGGTTGTTCTCAGCTCTGCAGAACTGGACTGGCGGGTTTTTCAACTGCATCAGCTGCGGGTTCTGGTGTGCAGACCTTTGTGTTTTCAAGCTGCTCAGATGATGTGAATCCTTTGTCATCTGAAACATGAAGCTGGCTGTTTTTCAAAATCTGTTGCTCCACAGGAACATACCGCCTGCTGAAGTGTCTCCACAGCTGCTTCCAAACAATGTAAAGGAGTTCTGACAAGTTGAGAGCTATACACAAGATGGAGGTGCAGACCATGATGTAGAGGAAGATCTTCTTCTCCATGGCTCGGGCTATGTAGCAGTCCACAGTGTTGGGGCAGGGTTCCTGTGTGCACCGCATCAGGATGGGCACCCCAAAACCATTGTACAAGTAGTAAAAAGCCAGCAAGAACCCCACTTCAAAGCCCGTCTTAAAGATCAAGCTGATGACATAGGTGCAGAAAAGACCACCATCAATGCTGCCTTTGTCCTTGTAGAACTTTCTCTTGTGCTTGGCCTCCCGGTGCTCCCTGTAGCCCACATGAAGGGCCACCATTAGGGATGGTGTGGACACCATGATGAGCTGTAGAGCCCAAAGACGGATCTGAGATATGGGGAAGAAGTGGTCGAAGCAGGCATTCTTGCAGCCGGGCTGCAGTGTGTTGCACACAAAGTCCTTTTGCTCGTCCTTCCAGACCTGCTCAGCCACGGCCACATATACCAGAATCCTGAACAGGAAGACCACAGAGAGCCAAATCCGGCCAATCGAAGTGGAGTACTTGTTCACTCCACTCAGAATCTTCTCCAAAAATCCCCAATTCATTGTTCACTTGTCTCCTGTCAGGACATAAACAATCGAGTTAGAGTCTAAATAACACAAAGCAGCCATAAAGTATTAATATTGTTGAATCATAAATGCAATCATGATAAAAGTAGTACACCCTTTTAAATTTTTGGATTTCATGAATCAGGACTTAAAAAAACAAAAAACAAAGATTAACCTAAAAATGAACCTGTACTACTAGTCACATTCAATGATCAGTTGATTACATATTCTAGAATAGTGGGAGCATCTTGGGGTAGCTTGCAATAAAATTTTTTGGCCAAGGCATTGGATATTTGATCTGTTATTTCCTCTGGTTTTGGATGCTGTCCAGTCAAAAATTATGTTTTTTTGTCTCACTTTGTTACTTTTGCACAATTATCATGATGCACAACCATGACAATAAGGTACTTTTACAACTGGAAGCACCTGATTAGTAACTAAAAAATTCAAATAATAGCATGATGCCTTTGAAAAGGAGGCAACATGAATTAGCGCAGGACCAAGGAGCAAAGGCTCAAATCCCCTACTCCAACATCTCTCTTTAGCTCTCTACAACCAGACAGAGATTCAAAGTGGAGCAGCAAAAGTAAACCAGGTGGATTAGCAGTGCTAACAACTGATGGTGGACATGTCAGTGTAAAATATTGTCTCCACTGCTTGACAACTGAGCTGTTAGCATCCCATCACCGTCATAAAACTGTTAGGCAGGAAAAGTCTTCACTTAGATGCTTTTTCAGAACTATTGCCAAAGTAGCATGTTTAGACAAGCTAGAAGTAATCCAATGTCATGCTCTCCCAACCTGAGGGAGCTTACATTTATGAAATAAGCAGTATTTCTAAATTAATTTTTGAATATATCCCAGTTTGTTTTGATGATATATAGCACTAAAACCCAATTTCAGTCCTTAAACTTTTTGAGAAAAAAAAATCATTCTTTATTCTTTTGCTGTTGCCTAAAATGTAACCAAGAGATATACAGGGATGACAGTTTAATATATTTAATTGCTTCAGAAAAAATAATGTATAAAACCTATACCTCCAAAAAGGTTTAGGCTCATGACAGAAAAAAAAAACACCTGAACAAGTCTGACTTTTTTGGAAGGTTGAAAGTTGATGACTTCCACCCTTCCAAAAAAGTCATGCTTGGTCTCATCTAAACTTTGGTTAAGATGAGAGCAAAGTAGACGTTTGACCATATTCCACAGTTCCATGTCTGAAGAACGGAAAACACAGCACATCAGTAAAAACACATCATACCAACTGTCAAACATGGTAGTGGAGGAGATATGATTTAATCTAATTTTGCAGCCGAAGGAATTACAGTATACCACCTTCACAAAACTCTTACGGTCAGGATTTTAGAGTTCAGATTAAAGTGGTTGTTTATCTGAGCTCCCATGTGAGATAATCTCATTTCCGACTTGTGTAGGTGGGAGCCAGCCGCGCAACACAAATTTGTGATGCAAAAATATGAAAATGTTTGCAAGACAAACTATGAAAAATACAGCAGGACTGGTGAGGTACAGCAATCATCATTTCATGACTATACCAATACAAGATGTGTTTGTTGTGTGGCAAAATTCCTTCTTCTAAGGAAGTTTAATATTTGAAAACAGAACAAATCTGTTAACCCCTTTAGAAAGGGGGATGTTTACCTCTCATTTCCTCATAACAATGTTGTGACCGTGAAGAGTTCACCTCAATGCCTCTCGTTTTGGTTAAATCACGTCATCTTGATTTGTGATTCACAAAAGAATCAGAAGAGGAGCTTGTCTTTCTGGGTGCAAATGTATGCAGATCTTTATGAATAGAAGCAGATTAGAGAGATGATAGAGATAGTTTTATCTTGCTGGATGAGGGTATACATTGTTTTTACCTCATCAAAAAAAGGTTAAAAAAAGAAGAAAAAAAAAAAGCTTATCAACCGTAAGCTCCAGGTGATAAAATCTCCACACCTAGACATCCCTCTTGCTATTCTCTTGGTCTTCTGTACCACACAGAAAACTATGAACATATTTTTTAATTAACAGTTTGATGTTGATCACCCACTGAGACTTTGAGTCCTGAAACATCCAAAGTCTGAGTCTTTGAAAAAAAATTATCATGAATTGATAACCAAACTGGTGGATTTCACAATTATAGGTAAGGTAATTTTATTTATATAACACAGTTTCAGCAACAAAGCAATTCAAAGTGCTTTACATGAATTAAAAGGAAATACAAAGAAAATGACAAACCAAGGGCAAGAAAAAGAGGAAAGAGAGCAAAAGAAAACTAATCAAATGTTGATCTAAAGTATGTAAACTAAGTGCTCCTGTTCAGGGTTAGTAAGGGTGCATTCACACTGCAGCCTGAAGTGACCCAATTCCGATTTTTTGACATAATGTGACCTGTATCCAATCTTTTCATGGCAGTGTGAACAGCACAGGTCGGATTCTTTTTCAAATGTGACCCATATCCGATCAAATGCGACCTAACGTCCAGGTCGCATTCATCCAAACTGAACGTCACCGTTTCTCAACAAATCTCACTATTCTGCGTCCTGATACACGCAAGCGGGAAGAAAAACAACAACCATGACGGATTATATGAGGATTAAGTTGTTAATATGTTGCTCCGGCCGGACAACAACTTCAAATATGTAAGCTAAGGTTCACCGTTAGCCTCCATGTTTACTTCCGCAAACACTGAGCACTTCTTCTTTTTATGGCAGTTGGCAGAACACTTAGAACGCTGACGCTATTGCGCCCTCTAGTGGGCATGCAGGACACTTTCAGGTCGTTTGCCCGTTCACACTGCAGAACGCATACAGGTCGCATTTACTGGCAGTGTGAACGGCCCCAGCAAAAAAAATCTGAATTGCCCAAAAAATCGGAATTGGGTCACTTCAGGCTGCAGTGTGAACGCACCATAAGTATTCTCTGGTCTAATTCCATTTCTAGGTAAGCTGAGCAGTAGAATCAGTTGTTCTTGTCATGTGTGCAGCACTGTTTCAATGGAAACTATGTAAGTTTCCGGGATCCAGATCATTTCAAAGAATAATCAACCATTTATTTTAGCTCCCAAACACCGTCCAATGAATGCAGCTCTTTCAGTCTCTTATTGTGCTGTTGCCTTTTCAAAGGTAAAAGGTAATTTTGTGCTCCACCCATCAGGCTGAACAATACAAATGAAAGAATTTAAAAATAAAAAAAAAGGCAAATGAAAGCAGCCTGACATTAGAAGAAATAAAACACAGTATATTGTTTAGAACTTTGCTTCCAGTCTCAACATGTTTAGTTTCAATTTATTTAGTTTTGAACATAAATATAAATAAATTGGGGTCCTCTCTTAACTCCACTGAAAACTACCTGATCTCATTGAACATAGTAAAGTCTATGTGTTTATGTTATTTAGTTTTTACTCCAACTTAGTGACTACATCATACATAAGTTACATGAGTTTAGGGAAACTGATCTCTGTGGAATGAAATTTGCAAATAATCAAATGGTTTGACTTGCTGATCTGGTTATTCAGCCTAAGGCCAGATTTCAAGCACACAGGTCACACAGATACAGACAGAAAAACAACTTTATTCAGTCAAGAGATGCCCAGTGAGAAAAACTATAAAGTTACAGAAATTAACATGTTTGGGAAGTAATTTTGCTACGTCACATGATTTTCTGGTGTGTTGGAATTTCAGAATATTCTACAAAATTAAAAACAAACCAGATTTCTTGTTGCTTTTTCTGCATCAATCTAAAAGTCTAAAGCCATGTTATAAAGCAGACAGAGACTAAATCTTACCAGTTGTGTCCAAAGAGAGAGGTTTATCCTTGGACCCAGATGGTTTGGGTTTCTTCTGCGAGTCACACCTGATCCGATCAGACTCCTGCATGCAGCAGCTTCATATCAGACTCACATCAGTCTGCTTCTTGTTCTGTTTTCTTTACAGCACTCTGCCTTTCCTGTAACATGTGGCCAGCAGTCGCCTCGGAGCACATCACCTGCTGGAAACTCAGTGGGTGTGAACAAAGACAACATCACTAATGCAAATAAAATTCATTCATGGCCACACCAGTCCAGGTGGGTTGTGCTTTCATTCCTCCTTCACCTGCCTGCTACTGGTTGATGACACAGGGATCGTGTTACTCTGCCAATGAGTAAATAATACATGTCACCTCCTCAGGTCAGAGTCGTCAAGTTGCTCATCTGTTGGAGTTTGGCTGGTAGCCAATAAAAATTATGGACATCACATCTGAGGCAATAATGCACTGTCCATGGGTCCTCTATGGGGCTGTTTTGTTTTTTATTTTGCTTCTTTTGACGAAGCTATGTGTGCTGTGTATTGTATAGTGAGGTGTTGTGTTTTTGGCCATTGCTAAAGAAGTTGGCTGTAAAAGGGACAATACTTAATAAAATATACCTTTTTGAGCTTCAAATCATCCTATAATGTTATTCCCTCTTCAAAAGATGACACCTCACAGAGCACTCTACCCCTGTAACTCCTTCACTCGGCTCCTTCAGACTAGCCAGCCACAATTAGAAAACACCTGGTGGTGTATACTTCTCAGTGCAATGCTGGTAAAAACTTTGTTAAAGGGTTAATAGAGCAGGGATGTTGTAATGACTTCATTAGGGGAGAGTTCCAGAAAGAGCAGGATATTTTAAACAGATAGAGGCCCAATTTCAAACATTAATTTACAAAGTCAAAATTTTTAAAAGTCATTTCTGATATATGCAGCATTTGATAATAATCAGTGGAAACATAGTTTCTTGATTATGCTCTAAAATGGCACTACATGCCTGGAAATATGTAATACTGCCCCTAATAAAACTACTGTTACGACTGAATTACACATCATTTATTTTTCCATTCAAGTCTTTTATTTGGAAGGAGATATTTCTCCCTATCCTGAAAAAAAAAGAAAATGTGAAATATGTTTTCTTGTTCAGTTTTTCAACATTAAGCTAAATCTGATTTAGCTCCTTTCTCTGAGAACCTGCAGTTTTACTCCCCTCATTTCTAGATTCTGGTTGTATGCTTTATGAATGTTTAGCCCACTTTTCTATTTCAGCTCAATTTATCTTTTGCGTGCTTCCCTCCCTTTGCAGCACCTTTAGTATGGCTTTTGTTGGCAGAAGTATATTAAATCCTCCAGGTGTTGGAGGAATACCCTTTTTTGCCTTTTTTTGACACTATTGAATCTTGAAAACCCATATTTAGACCTGAGAGCAGTTCAGAGTGTTCTCGAGTTTAAAAGCAAACCTTTTCAGGCAGGTGTTTAAGTTCTGTTACTAACACTGTTTATACAAAAATGACTTCACGCAAAATGAATGAATGAATGAATAAATAAATAAATAAATAAATAAAAACACAGCTCCAAGAAACAGTCCTATTTGGTCTCGATGTGAAATAGAGATGAATCACCTACGCCCTCTTGTGGCATGAGTCCATAAAATGGTAAATATGAAAATCTAATTAAAAAACATCCAAAAAGCTCCAAAATATTCTCTTTAGGTCGTCATTAAGATACTCAGACAGCATATCTTGCTCAAAAATCTCTGCTGGACCATCACAGAAGTGAAAATTAACTTTGCAGAAGACATTGCTAACACCATCAATAATCATTGATGGCCTTGTTGCCTCTTTCCCTTCCAGCTTCAGTTTTGTTGAGAGATGCTGGATACTCAGTCTTTTGACCACATCTATGTCCATCTGTCATGCCTCAGAGCCTAAAGAATTGGACAGTGGTCAGCATTTGGCTTCTTGTTTGCACACAAAGACTTGAAGCAGCAAGATTCTCATAGAAATTCTTGATCTATATCCATCAGCAGGTGAGTGGATTTTTTTTCCTCAACTGGTTTAATGATATTCTGGCCTGCTGAGGGAGAACTATGCAAATGCATTGATAATTACAAGCTAGTAAAAATGTACAACTGAACTCAGGCTTTGATTTCAAGCAGTCTATATTTAAACTTCAGAAAAAAAAACAGAATCAGGTGCAGAAAACTACTTTTTGCAGATCTGTCATCAAAAACAGCAAAATGAGGTTAAAAAAATGTTTGTGACAGTGTTCTTCAATGCTAAACACAAATCAATCAAATTTTACATTTTACCTTGCACCTGGGTAGCAAGGGGACACAGAGGAGGAAAAGCACACATAAAAAATACTTAAATATGTCTAACCAAGCCTCTCAGAAACTCAAAGTATGAAGTCAGAGCAGAATTGAATGTACATCGGTTAGCTGAAACAACAAAATCTTCTGACACATGCTAATTAAAGACATTAGTGCAACTGCATAGGAAACGTTTTTAATTTTAAACAACGAAAATGATCGATGTGTTGGGTAAAAACAAGAACAAAACAAAAAGATAAGCCAGCATTCTCTTAGCTTACATACATATGGTATGATAGTCCATGAAAAAAAAAACAACTACATAACTTTTTTAAATGTAACATTTTGTTCCAGAAATCAGCAGTTTTGTAAACCAACAACAATGCAGCATGTCAATCAAACTGCAGTAGCAGCTACATGACTAGGCAGAGTTCACTGGGAGGCAGCCTTTGCTACGATTAATAGTGCATTCCAGTTGGACTCCAGTTATAAGTTATAAATACAGAAAAAAGATCAACTGGACTACTCTCTAAAGTCATACTACTAACTTGGACAGTTGGAGGTTAATCACCAGCGAAGTTGACTGCTTATATTCAACATTAGTTGTATTTGCACTTTTGATGATCTGCAGGTAAACGTGTTTCTACATAGGTTAAATGGGAAAAATACAAGAAAATATATTGTATAATAGTTAGCAAAATCTCCCATTTGTAACTGAAGGTGACAGTTATTATTCCAATTATAAACTTCTGAGGTTAACGGTATGCACTCTATTTGCATGCTGTTCTTTTGCATTTGGAAAACCATTTACAGACCAAACATTTAAGTAATGTCATTTATTAAAACTTATACATGCTTACATTGGTGATACCCGAATTTTATGGAAGAGACTGTTGATTCAATCAAGACGAAGTAGTTAAAATAAACAAAGGAACCACAAAGCAAATGTGATCAATGATAAATATTATTTCTAATTTAACTTATTTTTTCATTTTAACACATGTAGCATTAAATGAAATGCAGACTCTTAACCTGACCTGTTAGGAACCACTGTGCTACAGGGTCTGAATATAAAAGTTGGCACATCAGTGATGGTGGTCCTACGTTCATGTTTGCACAACAGCATGAAAAGTTCTAAATAAGGAGGTTAGGGCCAGCTGCATGGTCTGCTGATAACTTTAGCACAAAGTTAATCTGTTTAATATAATAAATGAAATATCAGCCAGACTTAACAGATCTTTAATCTCCTTAGTCCAATAATGATGAAGTCTTTATTAAAGGAAAACCATCTCCAGCCATACTTTTATTGGTTTCTATTCACAGTATGGTGGTCGACCACCATATTGTGACCAATATGACCATCTTAAATTGACCATCTTGTTTCTACTAAGTAACAAAAGAATCATCAGTGGTGCACACTATGAGATGCTTCAAAAAATGTACCAGTCAGACACTGGTGAAAGTATTGGGGGGTGGATTTCAAGGATTCCAGTGAAAAACTCAGTCATTTTGTATTTCAGTGTAAAACTAATCTGTACCAGAGACATGTAAAGATGTATTTTTAGGATAAAATGGCAGTTACTCAAGAAAATGGCTACTTTCTCAGAAGAATTGTGTGCTTGCCTTGAGTTTGAGCCTCACTTTGCAGTCCGGTTTAGTAGACATGCTGTTTAAAGTTCAAGGAGCTCCATGGCAACAAGAAAACAATGAGCTGCATTAGCTGCCATGCTGTTACATAAATGGGTTTTTTTCTTTCTCTTGTAACAAAGCAACTTCCGAGAAAAGCTTTACACATTCCACATGCATGCACAGTAGGTGAAAGTACAACTGGGTGGCTCTTCACAGTAAAACATAGCCATGCATAGGTTAACAGAAGTTTTAGTTTCCAGCGAAAAGCTGCAATAGTTATTGTGATTTCTACAAACAAAAGCAGAGGAATGCTGTGAATGCACACACATGCACAAAAAAGTGTGAACAGCAGATTTGCTAAATGCTTAGGAACAGATCTCAGAGAAAGAAGCCTGGACAGTTTAAACTGGTCTAAGGTCAGACGTTTTTATACCTTAGTTCCCGTGCAGTAAATGTGACACTTCACTGTTCTTTCTCTAAAGGACTGGGAACTTTCACATTTACACACCATTACAGCTTCATCTCTAGGCAATCTAATAAGCTTACAAATTAGAAAACTGGGACCTTAAACACACAATTCGTTGTGCCAATGAGTGCTGGCTTACTGGCTAAAATGATCTTAAAGAATGTATGAAATACTAATCCAATTTCTATGAAAAGCTAAACTTACTATGGCTGTAGTAAGCTTAAAGAAAGAAAGCAGGAAGCCTGAACATCTGCAGACATCCAAAAGTCTATTCAGCATTAAATAAAATCTTGTGCTATTTAGAGCCATTGTTTGGCTTTTAACTTAATTTTTTCTATACCATCAGTGTAATACACTTTGTACACACTAAGGCCCAAAATAATCATGCATAAATGAAATGTGTGCATTTTCTGTAAAACAACCCTTTTTGAAACTTAAACTCCCTTTTTCTTTGAATAGCCAAGAACCAGCTACTTTCCTCCCTGGTATTCTAGCTAATAAGTTGCAAGAAAACAATAACTGCAAGCACTTTGTTACAAGATTGTAAAACTGGTACATTTTAAATGTATATAAACATGCATGGTGCAGGAGTCTTCCTTCCTACCCAGTCTGATAACCTCCTACTCCATGTTTAGACAACAAATGTAACCCAAGAAACAAAGAGATGGATGCCACAAGAGATTTGCGTAGTAAGATATTTTTGGGTGTAGCTGCTATATGTTCTGGATGCTACCATTACGCAGATAAAGATGTTATTTTAGCATAACTTAAGTTTGGTCTTTTACCAATCAGTAGATGGTTGCACTGGATAGAGCAGTGTGAATATTGTGCATTTACTGCAGAAAGCAGAGATCTGTATGCTCTTCACTTCCCCCTGGATTAGTCGTCTTAGCTGGGCAGGAGCAACACACATCTGAGTTGTGCACCAAGTCGATTGTGCTAGTTGAAAGTCGGAAGTTCATTTTTTGGCATTCATTTTACTACAAAACATAATTGTCTCGCTGTCCAACATAAATGCTATGGCAGTATATGAACTCATAAGACAGTGGAGGGGGTCCTAATGCAGATCGTACCATCGACAGTCTGGGATTCCAAGAACAGAAGCATCTTGCTGAGTTCCACAGATTTTTTTCTAAATTGATTTTTTGGAGACTGTATGCCAACATCACTTAGGCGTTAAAACAGCTTTAAGACCAAAGCCATTAAAAATCCAGCTAGACTCAAACTTAGCTTTTGTTAAATTAGTTTCAATTGTTTACCGACTTTTTTGAAATTAAGTATTTTTAATTCTTAGTGATTTTTACCTTTTGCAATTGAACAATGATTCGCCACATCACCTAAAAATGTGTAATTTACATTGGTTATTCTGCTTTACATTGGTTATTCTGCTTTACATTGGTTATTCTGCTTTACATTGGTTATTCGGATTTATGTTGCCAGGGTTAGGGGTTAGGCATAACGGAATGTGGCAATTTTTCTACGTGCTCTTAAAGGGGCAGTATTGTGTTTTGTAGCCAGACATGATAATTTTGTAGCACATTTGAGTAATTGTTGACTTTAGTTCAGTCGTTATAACAATGCTGTATATATTTAAAATAAATTTGAGTCTGTAATTTAACACCTTGAAATTGGGCCTCTGTCTCTACAAACTGCTGCTCTGACACGCCGCCTTCAGGAAGAAGGAACCCTGCTCCTCTATCAAGCCTTTAACAGCATTTTACAGGCATTGCACTAAGAAGTAGCTTGTATAATGAGCTCAGCTGATGTGCAGTTCCACCAGGTGCTTTAAAGTTGCTGCTGGCTAGTCTGAAGGAGCTGAAGGTAGGAGTCACAGGGGAGGGCTGCTCTGAGGCGGGAGCTGGGAAACTGGAACCTCTTCCTCAGCCCACCCAAGCATTTTGCACAGCTGAATAGTTGCCAAGGCAGATTCAAGGATTTCTCAAACATGCATGGAAAAAAATAAATAAATCAAAGCAAAACTAATCTCTATTCTGAGGGCAATAGAATTTTTCAGTGTCAGAACTTCAGAGATAATGAACTTTTATTTGCAGTCATTTAACAGGCCACATTCTACATCTTTACTCTGTCACTTTGACAGTGGGGCTTCCTGAGCCTTGGCAAGAAGGGCAGCTAAACTCCCCAAACAATAATGCCCAAGAGATAAATGAGCAATGAAACAATAATAAACCTCATGAAAGTTACATGTACATTGGAGACTGTATGCCAGTCTCCAATGTACATTGGAGTTTACAGCTCAGTTTACAGCTGTAAACTGAGCCGAGTGATGGCGCCCAGTCAGATGTTGGCAGTGAAGAACTTAGCCTTTTTTAACTTCAGATATTCTCAAATTAACTGGAAAACAAAAATGAGTCCTTTCATTTTAAACAAAAGCAACTGAAACAGAAGCAATCTGAAAGGTCAGATGCAACTATTATAATTTTATAGGTATGAACAGAACCTGGAAGTTTATATTTACGTGTAGCATTTTGTTTAGGAGACAAGTCACATTTCAGTTTTATCCTAAATTGATCTATTTTCCATTAAGGTTTATGTTTGGTAGAAAATAAGCAACTTCAGATAAAAGAGGGTCCGGTAGGCACAGGAAATGAACATGTAGCTGAAAGCGACAGAGTCGAATGAAGACTATCCTGTTCATTTCTGAGAATGTTTTAACCCAGGTTAGTCAAAAACCTATTAAAAAGTAGAAAGTAAACCAGGTTGAGCTTAGAGGATCAAGTATGATTTGTGTTATCCACGTCCCTTTGCTTCTTTGGAGTTAGGTTTTATGTTCTCCATAAAAATGGACTTATTACAAGGTATATCATTTTAGTTTTTAAGACACAGGGTCCAATGATTTTATAGACAAAATTCCTGTTTAGAGTGAAAGAATTTGCTGTTAATTTTTAAAATCGTTAGATGTTTCTTAGTACTATAAAGAATTCTCAAATTTTGTAAATCAGCAGTAAGGAACGTGCAGAGGTTTAAGTTTGATTGTATATAATTCTTAGTTTGGAACAGCTTACCTACATATAAGTGCTAGTGCCAGTTTTTGTCATTTCACCCCAGTGTTTTTTTGTGTGATCGTCATTTAATATCAACATAGGGCACTCTTTAAAGAAAAGCAGCAAATATGAAGTTGACATGCGTCCATCCTCACTCGTCATGCACGTTTCAGTCAGTGCTCCTGCACCGCTTCCGCTGTGCAGTTCATGGCACTGAACCCAGGCAGCGTGACGCGCCCATGGTTGTAGATGTCCCGATCGGAGCCCTGGTTCATGCGCTTGACCAGGTTCTTCTCGTACAACAGCGGGTGGTAAGCCCCGAATGTGCAGGCGGCGTCATAGAAACGCTGATAGTAGTGGCAGAGTGGCGTCTTCCTGCGAGACGGCAGAAACTCATAGACGTGCACCACCTCACACAGTGACATCATCAGGATGGTGCCTGCACAGACAAAAGGAGATTTCTCTTAGAACTGGAGAAAATGTACATCAAAAGTGGCCCAAGGAAAGGTCAAAGGGACTTAGGTGACAAAGGTGTTTATGAGGGATGAAATGCTGATCACTGTGGTGCTGATTTGACTTCCAACTTTCCCAGATCTCAAGCCAATAGAGCTTCAACAAATTTGATCCATAGTAGATGCACCTCACATCTCCAGGCATAAAGAATCTCCTGCCATCATGTTGGTACCAGATACACCGCAGCTCCAGGGGTCCAGTGCAGTCCATAACAGCTTAACGTGATGATTGATTGGTAAATGTTTATAACGCAAGCAAATGTGACCAAAATTTGATTTTTTTTTTTTTTTTTGCTCAAAGGCAACTCCGCCTTTTCACCCCATGAGACATGCATCATAGTTCTGCATCAGAAGAAGCCAGACCAGACGTAAACAGTGGCAGTTGTAAAATTATTAATGAGGTCTGTTCAACTGAGGTGCATTACATGACAATGCCACCACTCTTGGTTCTGGCTACACATCCCAACAGACATCTTTACAGAAGTTGGACACAATGCTCCTCAAAACACCAAGGCCATTAGTTGTGCTCTTTTTATTAGTTTCCCTCATCAATTCTGTTGGCTCCCATTGCAAAATAAACTATATTTTATATATATATAT